GGGGGGGCTGTGTGCTACCAGAAGAGGAATCCTGGCTCTGTGTGTGTGTGTGTGTGTGTCTGCCCTGGACTCCCCCGCTGGACCTCTGCTGATTAGTCGCATCCTTTCTCTGAACTAAGTCATAGCTCAGAGTCCACCAGTGACTGCTGAACTTGGGTGGTCTTGGGGACCCCTGGCCCAATGAGCAGAGCAAAGTGGAGGTTATTCTTTCCTCAAACATGTGGCCCACTGTACAAATCTGTTCATCTAAGATAACTGCACAAACCCATCGCACGCATTACCTTCTATCTCTTTCCATTCGGTTATGCCTCTCCCGACGCTGAGACCTTCCTCCCTGGGGGCCGCTCTGCGTCGGCTCCCCCAGGGTAGACTGGGAGGATTCTGAGCACTGCCAGGCACCCTGTGCCGCTGTGGTGCCTTCACCCACATTCTGGATCTCTCCCAGGGCTCTCCGTTCTATACTTGTGTCCAGCTGACGGATCCTACTCCGATTCCTCTTATTTATGGCTTGTTTACATAGCGCTTCTTCTTTGCAAAAGAAGGAAAAAGAGGTCATTTAATTTTTTATTCTTTTTTTTTTGGTCGGCCGTGGGGCTTGAACTCTGGGCCTGGGCGCTGTCCCTCAGCTCTTCAGTTTAAGGAGAGCGCTCTACCACTTGAGCTACAGCGCCACTTCCAGTTTGGTTTATTGGAGATAGGAGTCTCACGGTCTCTCCTGCCCGGGCTGGCTTTGAACCGCGATCCTCAGATCTCAGCCTCCTGAGTGGCTAGGTTTACAGGCGTGAGCCACCAGCGCCCGGCTTTAATTTTTTATTCTTATTTAATAAATTAATATTAACTTGTTTTTTTTTTTGCATTTTCAATCCCAGATACAGATGGTGCCGGGTGTGCCGGAAAGCAACCAAAGTGAGGAGCTGCTACGCCAGTGTGGGCACTGCAGACCCAGCCAGGACTGGGCCCAAGTTCACATGCAGCGCTGAGCAAGCACGGCTGCCTGGCCAAAGTCCTTCTCGCTAGTCAACACGCATTATTACCCACGACACAGAACCAAGGCGTTTTCTTTCTCTGCAATTCAGAATGAAAAACGCTCAAACTATTTTCTCCAAAAAGGTTTTCTTTAGATCCAATTATTCTAATGTGCAATGGATATTTTAACTGTGGTGCTCACAAGAAGGCAAATTTTAAGTGCCTGATATGCAACACCTGCTTGCCTCAAAGTGGGAGCTACAAAGAGCACACAGCATTCCCGCCCCGCTGCGTGCTGCAGCACAGCGCGCTGCGCTGCTGGGCATGGGATGTACATCTGCACCCAGGCGCCACAAAAGCCAGCGCTCCCTCACATCACCCCTCACAAATGGTGCCAAACACTTCACCTAAAATGTCAAGGGGAGGAGGAGCGAGAGGAAAGGGCTGGGGGCAGGGGATAAACTATACCCCATGCAGTTTATCAGCTCCCAAAACCTTGGCTTAACAGTCTTACAGTGTCGCTTAAAAACCATCTTTTCACGGGGCACTGGTGGCTTCTATCTGTCATCCTAGCTACTCAGGAGGCTGAGATCTGAGGACTGCAGTTCAAAACCAGCCCAGGCAGGAAAGTCTATGAGACTCCTATCTCCAATTAATCACCCCAAAAAGCCGGAAGTGGCGCTGTGGCTCAAGTGGTAGAGCGCTAGCCTTGAGTGAAAAACACTCATGGACAATGCCTAGACCCGCGTTTAAGCCCCAGAATGGCACAAAAAGAAAACAACAACAAATTTTTTTTTTTTGCCAGGGAAAACAGTGAGAACTTTCACCATCAGCAAAGTTCTCCACAGCAGCTTCTCTGATTCCCAGACTTCTAATTACTGTATGGCCTCTGCTCCTGCCCCCTGCCCTCCACCTGCAGGGTCTTACCCCTTTGCCACATACCCTAGCTTCCATAAGTCCAGACTGCCATTTCACTCAGAGAGTAGGGAAAAAAAACCAAACTAATAGCACTAAAGCACTTCCAGTAACTATGATCTCTGAACACTGAGTCTGTCATTTTGCTGTTAAAAAGCATCAGGGCCCTGAGACATTCTTCTATGTCTAAACCACCTCCAGCCCCATGTGCTCCCAAAGGGTCAGCCAGCCAGCCAAAGGAGGCCCTGCCGCTTCCATCGCTTACCTCCCACTTTAATCCAGACCTGCTCGGGCAAAGCTTTGTTCCTGCTACCTAAAGTCTGCTTAGAGGACTCAATCTCTTGCTGGTAACAGAACGAAAATGCTCTAGGCAGTCCAATATCCTGATGCTTGGCAGCTTCCAGCACAGAACATGAATTACTAGAGCTCTGGAAAAAAAGGAAGCAACAGGAGTTTTATCAATATGTGACTTAATTTGTTCTGTTTTGTCTTTAAGAAGCAGGGTTCCACTGTGTAGCCTGGCTTGGAACGGGGCTGGCTTGGAACGGACTATGTCTTCCAGGCTGCCCGTGAGCTCATGACCCTCTGCCTCAGTCTCCAGAGTGCTGGGGCTACAGACTGCTGGGACTACAGGTATCAACTACCGTGCCTAGCTCCTCCACCTGCTCTTCACTGCACAAATAAAATGCACTTAGCACATGAATCATTGAACCTATCGATCAACCAACTTGAAAAACTTTCCCTTCACTATTTCTAAATAGCCCTGCACAACATAAACAGTTCCCACTTTTTAAGAAGTTGCCTATTCATGAAAGAAAAAAGTCCTTGGGATCTAACTACAGTAAGTTACAATCTAGCAACACAATACCGAGGAGCAAGCTTCACCTGTGTCTGGGCAAGGCTGGAGTTCCCGCCGGTGGAGCACGCGCTTGTGAACAGTGGGTAGGTGAACTGCAAAGCAGTAGTGGCAGCAGCAGTTTTGTTTTTCACTAACGTTGTACATTTGTTTTGTTGCTGATGAAGCGGAACATTCATTAATTCTGATGGATGCCGAATAAGAGTCACCAAACTGCCAAGACAAAAGAAAACCCAGAAACCTCAGAAATACATGGCAGACCCCAAACCGGCGCCCAGGGCTGCCCCACTAGCAGGCCTCGTCAGCCTGGGCCAGAGCTCAGTTTGTCCACAGCTGCCCTGGGTGTGGCCGCATGGGGACGTGGAGGGCCCTCTCCTCCGGGGGGGGGGAGAGGCTCCTTCCTCCCCTGAGCACACCCCAACACCCATCTCTTTTGTCATCTTCCAAACTCTGGCGAGGATGGGTAAGCCCTGGACACCATGGCCCAGGCATGAATGGAAAACCCAAGGTGTCAGTGTCCCCCAAAGCCACACTGGAGGCCACTATGTGGGTGGGAGCTGTGCTGCAGCTCTGTCTGACAGCTCCAACCCCTAAAGATAGGGTCCTTCCAATGCTTGCACCACCTTGGGTCAGCTGGGGGGCAACAGGGAGACGACAAAAGCAGCTTTTTCCGCCCTCGAGGCAAAGAACGAAAACGTCCTCCAGCACAGCGGAGCCCTGCCCGGCCAGACAAGGCTCGGTGCACAATCCTCTTGGGGCTGTGGGCCACTGTGTGCAGTGTGCCGTCCAAGCCACTGGTCCTGGTCAGCTCCCTGTGCTACGCAGGGTCTGACCAGTGCCTCCTTGGGCCCATGGGACCTAGCCAGAGACCCAGCCGGCTCCCTCATCTCTTATCCTGCCTGCCAGTGCTGAGGCAAAGCCTCTCCTGTATCCAGATCCTGCAGAAGCCCTGCCGACCCTGGGACCCTGGCTGACCCTGCAGGAGGCCTGACCGACCCCAGTCCTCCCTTGCACCCACGCCCCACAGGAGGCCCTGTGACCTCTCGGGAGGCCTGGCTGACCCCCAGCCCTCCTTCCCACTCAGACACCCCCCCAGGAGGCCCAGCTGCCTCTGGCCCTCCCTTCCACCGACACTGCAGGAGGCCCTGCTAATCTCTCAGGAGGCCTGGCTGGCCCCTGACCCTCCCTTGGGCTCAGGCCCCGCAGGAAGCCCTGCTGACCTCTC